TCTTTAAAGATATAATGTGTTAAAGTACTCATTGTATTCATATTTTATCTTTAATAAAATGTTGATGTTTAACACAAAAAAAGAAGAAGAGAGTTTAGCCTTCAACAATATTTTCTCTCAGGACATGCAGTTAAAAATGAGCTAACTCTACCCTTCCTAAAATGCTTAATTGTTGTTCAAATTACTTTACTTAAATATGATTCAGCATTGCTTATTTATAGAATTTTTAAATATTAATGATCCCTTGATATATATTGTATATTTTATCAGTGTTTCTCATTAACCATGATGTAATTTTAATAATAAAAAAATGTTTTTCATTGAGGTTGTATTTTATCAGTATTTCAAAATTAATATACTTCATCTATTTGGATAATAAAAAAGATAAAATTTAAAATACTACAGAATTTTAATTAAATAATTTTTATATCAAATAAAAGAATTAAATAATTTATTTTTAGAAAGAATTCAAAAATTTCTCTATTATACTTAACTTTTTTGTATTTATTATTCATAATTCTTTTCATATTTGAAGTTCACTCTAATCTTTAAACATCTCTTATTATTACATTCTTTTTTTTGGAATTTTAAAATTCTATATCCAAATACAATTTAATAGTTTTGTATATTTATTTTTTTTATATTTAAGGTGTATTTATATCATTATTTATTTAATATTTTTAAATATGATAATTTTATGTCTTAAATTTAACAATAAAAATTATTATTAAAATAAAATAATTTATCAAAAACATAATTTGTTTTTCAAACATGTTCTTGTAGATAAATATATGAGCAACTGTTCCCATAAAGGAATAGCAGAGAAGACACTACATGTAAGGTTTGGATTATTTTCTAGCACTAAGTAAGTATGAATAATAAACAAGTTTTATATTGAAAGTTAAATAATATATTAAAATTTAGAATATACAAGAGACGCTACCTATTAATTAAAAACTTCTTAATATTTTAATCCTTTCGCATTTCCTATCATCTAGCATAGGAGTATAAATAGATATTAAAGGCTAGTTTGTTTTTGTTTTGATTTTAAATTTTTTAAAATTATAAAATAAAAATAAAATTGATATTAATTAACAATTTTTTTACTTAAAAAAATTACTTTTAAATCCAGAAAACAAACAAGTTTAGTTACTAGTCTCTGGCTTCTCTAGGTTTGGATAGGTTAGGCTGGACCGTTTTAAAGTTGGATTAGTTCAACCCAAACCATTTTGAAACTTGAATTCTAAAGGTCCACTCTTTCTCGGGCAAGCACTTTTCTATTTGTTACTCACTTGGTTTAATAGTTAGAACCAATTAACTTCTAAGCGAGTTTATATCTACCTCTTCCCAATTTTATTTTCATTTAGTAAACATTCTTCAGGATATACTCATTCAAAGAAATTAATAAAAATACTATTCAATTTTTTTTTTTCAAAACTGTTATTTAATATAAAAATATTCATAAAAAGAAAGTCTTAGAGTTGAAGATATGGTTATAGGTTTAGCTGTAGTCATATGTAAGCGATTGCACATGAATTCTTGGGCCAATAGTTTAGTACCAATGAGCAATTTTAGTTTATTTTTTACTTTTTCAATTTGATATATTTAGTTACGAGTTCTTAAACAAATTTAAAAATCACTTGGAGTGAGATTAGCTGGGAAATTTAGTTGACAAATACGAAAAGGACACAAAGAACTTGAAAAGGAAATCAAAGCTGAAAATAAAATGCGATGGAAGAAAGTAGTAATGAAAGGTTATAAATTAAGCTTTAAATTGCTGTGCAAAATCTAATCTCTGGACGTGCTGTTGTATATTTGAATTGCACATTAACACAGTGCTAATAATTATTTATCTGATAATAGCCTTTGCTCTGAATAGCGGTACCTGGTCATGTTTTGAGTAACATAGTTGCTCAATATTGTGTTGTGTTTACCATCATTCAAGTCCAGTTCTGAGCCAAATGTACATTAATATAGATATGCACAGTGCAGAATGTTGTTTTTATCTTCCTTAGAGTTTGGAATGGTGAAAAATGATATGAAAATCGCCAATCACAAACTTGCCCTTTTCAGTGAATTGAGATCATAAGAAAACGGATCAAAAAGCCTTCGGGCCTAAGGGTTATGCAATAGGCAAGCCATCATTGCCAACCATACTCATTTCCTTTACTTACACTTTCTGTCCCCATACTCAAACAACCACATTCCTGCATAGACAATATTTAGCTTCATGTTTCATAGAATCATTTTAATTTTCATAACATGTTTAGTAATAATAATAATAAAACAAAACAGGGTCACGATGAATACACCTCTTTTTGGTTTGTCCACAATATGTGAACACTTGAAAGAATAACCAGCAGTGTCAATTCACCTCACTAAGTGGGGAGGCTCCACTGCCGAGTGGACGTGGATGATTGATTAATACTCAAATCAATTTCACCCATGATGACACGTTTCAGTGTAATATTTGTTATTAAAATGAATTTCAGTACATATTAATATAATTTGTTTTAAAAAAGTGAATTTTGCAAAATTAATCTTACCAAACACATCAGTGTCATGATCATGTATTATGAGAGGTGTTTAACTGGGTTATTCCTTAACGTGGTTAATAAACTGCAGTGGATGAGAATGTAGTGAAGAATCAAGAAGCAAAGTAGATGGTAGGACAACTAAGATGCACGTTAGCACCGACACGAGGTTCTGAGTGGTGTGATACAGACGTCAAACAATGTCAGAACATAAGATGCGTTTCAATTTTCACGTCCACAACACCACCAACACGCAACCATGCACTGGTGCAACTTCTTCTTCAAAAGATTAAACAAAAAATTATGAAATTACAAGGGACTTCAAAACTTATATTTTTTAACAATAAAAATATGAAATAATAAAATACTAATTTTATTTTTTAAATTTGAGTTTTAAACAACTAATTACAGTAAAATATTATTAAAAAGATAAATTTATTATACATAATTCTTTTTTAATAAAACTTTCTCCTTTAAATGTTTAAATTCAACTTTAAAAGCTATGATAAACAAAACTTTTAAAATAAAATAAAATTTTTGTTAGTCAAGAAATAAGTATATTTAGTAGTTATATAATTTTTTAAGTTTTAATCCTTCTAAATTATATAGAGATTAAATTGCAATTTTTTTGTATAAATTAAATTTAAGAAATATTAAATATATAAAATAAATATATAATTCAACTTTTTCAAATAAATTTTCACATCTTATTTTGAGATATGAAATTTACAGAGGAAAAGAGAGAATAATATTTTTATTTTATGATTAAATAATTTTTTATACACATAATTAGAAATCAAAGTGTAGTATGTTGAAAGAAAATTAATTAGATTTTATGTACCTAAAATGACTTTAAAATAAAAAGAAAAGACAAAGCTCCTTATAATTTTTCTCTTTTTTTAAAAAGGAAAATAAATCAAATCTGAATTGAATGAAATTAAAATTATACTAAAGTTTTTTATATAAATTAAGAGCTACTAAGAATATTTTAAAAAATATTAGTCATTTACAGAAAAATAATAATATTTTACAAGTTTGATTTTTAAGAATGTGAAATTATAAATTTCTTCTAAAAAATATTTATTATATTTTTTGTATCAATCGATATACGTTTTAAAAAAATACAATAAATACATATATATATATATATATATATATATACACACACACAATATTTTTTATATATTTTTGTATCCGTTCAGAGATGAGTTATTAATAATTTTTTTCATTTTTTAAAACTAATACATGTAATACATCATATACTTAAGGCATATTACTTTAAAATTCGTTTAATAGTCTCATTAAAAAATTCATTCACTATTTTTATTATAAAAATGTTTTTATTAATTTTTAGTCCGTCAACAAGATATTGATTAACAAGATTTATTAATAATTTATTTAAAGGAGGTAAAAATGCGAATAATAGTTAACTTAAATTTGATTGAAAACAAAGAAAAAAATAAAGTTCTAAAAAAGAAAAATTTGGTGAAGAGTAGATGGAAAAAAGTGAGTTACAGCGCAGAATGAGGAGAAAAAGACAGAGAAAAATTGGAAGAGAAGGGAATGGGTATGGAATCTTGATGGAGTGATGAGTGGGGCCGAGTGTCTAATTATTCTTATTTTACACACATGCCAAGGGGAATGTTTATGGGTCCCTCCTTTGCAGAAAAATAAGGAAAATAAACTGTCGTGTGTCATATCCTTGTCACTCTTCTTTTTTTCTCCTTCTTCCGATTCTTTTACACAAAGGAAGAGGTTGGACGCAAACACTCGCCATTGGTTCGCGTTAATGGTGGCAATGTGTGAGAGACAAAGACTGAATTCTGACTAAATATTCATGTATCACTAAAATACACATCAAACGAGTTTTGCTGTCACTTTGGATGTTACATTTTTTTTACAGTTTTATTATTTTATATTTAAAATTTCATATATAATTGTTTTTTATATATAGATTATAGATATCTCAAAATTATTTTTAAAACAAAAAAACTCTTCACTTTAAATGTATATAAAATACTACTCACTTTAAAGTCTGTATTCATTTACATATCTTTCTTTGTTTATATCACACCCCCCATTGCACCTATCACTTTTTTCCTATTTCCTTAAAATCTCTCTCTTCTCTCAAAGAGTACGTACACTTTGCGGGTGTGAAGCCATCTTTATCCATTTCCAAATTCTTACTATTATATAGGGCAGTAAGTGGGCATTTGATTGAGGCAGCTTTATAGTTTGTAGTTATGATGGCTAATAATAATTAATCAGCATTTATCTTCAAGACTTCTTTACTGCAATATCACGTGAAAATATCAGAAGTCTCACCTGGCCTTTATTCTCCTCTAGCTACTAGTAACTTGCTTCATGATAACACGTTTTAATGCGCAGATGAATCTTGCTGCAACTGACAGCTCCATTAAACCTGAATGTATCTAAACAGCACAGCACAAAAAGAAAGGAAAAGGGAAGATAAAACAAGGTAAAGCATCACATATATAGATACTCACAGCTTTAATATTTGCAATCTGCATTCGTAAGTTGTAACATAATTAACATACCAGTTCATTCATATAATATATATATATTCTTGTACATGATACAATTTTTTCGAATTGAGTAATAACCTAGACAATCAAACCAGTCGATGATGGATGGAACAACGTATTGTGGGTTGCCCTGCTTCTGTGATAGAAGAAATCACATGAAATATAAAAAGGGCAATACTTAATTTACCAAGCCTCCCCTTCTAGCTACTTGTCAACCCTAAAAAAATGGGGTTAATATTGATCTGTTCTATATATGTTAACACACATAATCAAATATGTAGTGTAACCCTTGTTTAATTTTCTGAGTACTACTGAAGCCTGCCTAAAATAAGCTTCATTTCAAAATCCCACCTTGGTCATGAAGAGAAGAGGAGCTAGATACACGACAAATTGACAGAAGAGAAAAGAAACCCATGTATGGATCAATCCTATCAGCTGTTAGCCAGTTATGAAGAAATCCAAACAAGTGAAGTGAGTCCCCCATGATCTGAAGGAACTCATCAAAACCAGAAAAAAAGTTCGAACGGAAACTGCGAGAATATTAATAGAAAGCAAGAGTATGAAAATAGTTATGACTTGCTCGAATTACCATGATCCTCCTCCTCCTAACATTCCAGTCCAATACCCAGTTGAAGAATCTCCTTGTTGCTCCTTATTATTCTGATCCATTGTAGTGGTGGTGTTAGCTACCTGTTTTAAATCCTCAAACGGAAACAAAAGCCTCCCACTTGTCTCTTGAACATTCTGAAGACTTGCATACCCGTTTCCAATTCCGTCTAAAGAGAAATTCAGGGTGGACTTAAAATCTTGCAAAGGAAACCCGCAAGTGTAAACAGAATTTGGATCAGCTGGAACCGGTACAGGTATGAAGGAATTCATACCCCTTGAACCAGAAGTGATCCCTGTAAGAAGCTCCAATGCGGAAAGGTGAGAAGTTGAAGCTGTAGTAGCACTTGTAGTAGTAGTAGTAGTAGTAGTAGTTGTTGTTGTTGAAGAATTAGATGCTGAAGCTGACATGTTGTTGTTGTTATTTTGTTGAACCAATTCAGATATGTTTCTAAAATCTGGGGTGGTAGTGGTGGTGGCTGGGAAAGCCAAATTAAGATCTTGGCCATCATGAATAATATTCTTAGGGTTTTGAGTGCAAGTGGTATGTGACAAACTTGGAGGTGTGATAACCAGATCAGGAAGCTTCTTATTGGTTGAATTATTACTAGGTGAGGAACAAGAAGCGGAAGATCTTTTGTTCTTCCTTGAGCCACCTCCTACAGGAATGTTTCTGAGGGACCCACCTTCAGTCCAATACCTTCTACAAGTCTTGCAGAAATACCGAGGCTGTGTGAGGCTATAGTTATTGTAGTAGCAGAACTTAGTGTTGATTGAATGACACCTTGGACAGTTTAGAGCTTGTTCTTTCTGTGGCCTTGGCTTTCTCTCCACAGCACTTGCAGGCTTTGGACATGTATTTGTCACTACTATATCTTCTATTGGTTTCACCACGATCTCCTTCAAATTAAAATAATCATCATGCACAAACAAATTAATTAAGAAAATTAAAGCATGTAGCTGTATGCAACAAATATGAAATTAGAAATACAATCACAAAACAACAAGTAAAGCAGGTTAATTACTTGCTTTACTTTTCATGAGCATGAAAGGTGAGATTATGAACATATAATAATGAATTTTCTTTTTCAAAATTAAAAAGAGTTGCAGAATAAAAGATTAAATCGAAAGTTGTTTAATTTATTTATGACAAAAGGAAAGGAAAAGAAAGTTAGAAAGTGAAAGGTACATAAATTAAAGAAAATTGAAAGATATATGAATACAATTGATGAGTGGGCACGTATAGCACTTGCAGCAGGTGCAAAAAAGGGAAATAGAAGGAATCAAAAGAAAGCAATATTGAGCTAAGAGTGTTAGATATATAAAATATAATTAAGAAAAAGATATAAAAGGAGCAGCATGGCTTAATTACCTGTGGCCACTGAGCTGTGTCCATGGATAGATGAAGAGGAAGAGGATGAAAGGATGAAGTTGAGGGAAACGCAGGGTGGCTGTTGTGAAATGAAGCTGAAAGAGAAATGATGGTAGCTTTTGTATTTTAGTTGAAACCCGTTGCAGAAGCTGAAAAAGGGAATGTTTTTGAGTGGCTTTTCTGCGAGTGTGGGACGGTGCATAACTATGAATCAATGGATCACCTTTTCCAACTTTATCAATTTAATAGAGAAGAGAACATGGTGGTGTCAATTAATTAATTAGTTTTTGGTTCATAATCTCACCATGCTTTATAAAAATATAATCATAATTCAGTAAATATTATTATTATTTTTATCTATGTGGTAATTAATCTATTTGAATCAGGTAAGTGTCAAAATTCTCCTACGACTATATTTAGTGCCACTTGAACTTATTTTATTTTATTTATTATATAAAATGACAATGACAAATAAAATTAAAAAAACCAAAATGATAACTTTTATAAATTAAAAAATCTACTTAAATATAATTTATTATGAATATAATATTTCAAGTACCGATTTGTGTGGCGACTGTGGTCTGGCCAAGGGAATATATGTCTGCAAATTTAAATCTATCGAATCGCTGGCTACGAGGATTCCCATTCAATTTTTCTTTTTAAAATTACACAACCAAGTAATAAATCTTGTTGACTTGACCACTGCAGGCAAAATTAACATTCGATTTTGACATTTTCGTAATTTACGGGTTAGTTAAAAATTCATTTTGTTTATAACGAGGAGATTTATAAATTAGAAAGTTATAAAATATATCACTAATTATTTATGAAATATTAAATTTGTTATTATTTTATTTTAGATTAAATTCTTAAATTAGTGACAAATAATGTCTTATTTTTATATTTTTATCAGTAAATAATCAAATATTAATTAAATTTATTTTTGTAAAAAATTAAGTAAAATATGAAAAGCAATAGCTTTAAAAAGTATTTCCGGAAAAATCATAATCTAAATAAGCTTTACCGGGGCCGCTGTTTATTTTATTGTTAATTATTATTTATATAAATGAATTACAATTTTATTAATTATTTATTAACTAACTTAACAGAAAAAGTATTATATTATTTAAATAACTATATTTTACTCCACATTACTTCCACTAATTACGATCAATAGGTAAAAACCATTCGTTTGATTTATTTAATAAAATATTTTTATGTCTTTTATTTGATAAACTTTAAATAGACTTCAACTAAATATTGTAACTTATAAAATTTTAATAGATGAAATATACTATTTTTTGTATTTTGTCCATTTTTATATAAATTAATAAATTTGATCATCCGAACTAAATTAACTAATCCGACTATGATTGGGTCTGTTTAATTCAAATTATTTGATATAATCACACTTAAATCAAACCAAAACTTTATAATTAGCTTTGATATTTTTTCATTTAAATTTAAACCACGAGTGTATACATACAAGACAAGTGTGTTGGAGGAAGGGCTTTAATATTCAAAGTATCTTATGCATTTTTAATTCAAGTATAAAATTAAAAATTAAGTGTTAAATAACGATGAAGTCACATGTCAAAGAAAGAAAAATATATAAAAAAGTAAAAAATGTTATAACTCAGAGAAATGTTAGTAGGTAGGTTTTATAGGTATTAGGTAGGAATGATTTGATTTAATTTTATTTTCATTTGGTGGGAATGATAATGTTAATTGACTTTGGCGCCATCCAAAAGGAGCGTCTTTCCCACTCTCATGCGGGTCGCTAGACCATAGCGTCATATTTTCAAAGCTTTTCCTGCTGCAACATATTCAATTATATACTGCTAATGCTACACTGTAAGATCTCACCAATCTCCATTCATCACTCAATTATTCCCGAGATTGATTCACTTACCCTCCAAATATACTAATAACCCTATTTTTCAAACTATATGATTCTCTGGCTACCATTGTGCAATTGGACACAATGTAATCAAATCAACATCCATGATATACGATTTTCTTACTTTGTCATTTTTTTCGTTTAAGTTGATGTGCCTTTGCTATTTTAATAATAATAGTAAAGATATTACCAGAAACACAATCCCTTATGAGCTAGTCATTTGACCAAGACTAACAAACAGGCTTGCCGAACCCTAAAGCTGGTGTGGTGAAGTCACTATTTTAGACTCTCAACCAAGCATCATTGTTTTCATTAAAAAAAATTAGTAACTCTTCAATAATTAAGTCCAAGGATCCATGCATGGAATCACTGGTATTACACACACAGAAATCACTGCTGATAGATTAAGGAGGTAAAATTGAACCATGTAATGTATTGTTGGTTCAGGTATGCAATTGATTTGAAGAACATAGGGAGTAGTGATGAGTGAATGTTGTTCTATGGGCCAAAATCCCCAGGCGATGATGGAATTGGGCACACCCCACAAGCATTCACATGCGCAGCAGTTTCCGTGTCACGAATCACATGGCGCAGGTGTATATGTCTATCATACGTGGAGAACAAAGTGGCCACTACCCAGGGTGTCATCATGCTAGCTTTGTCTACCCATTTGGCCATCCCAAAATCAAATTCACTGCAATTCAAAAATATGTAAATGTTTTAGGCACTTCTATATTGTTTTTTAATAAATATTTTTCAATTCTCGTTAACATGATCCAATATTATAAGGTTTCCTGGTTCCAATTGTAATCATAGCCTTTCATTGATGAAATGGGACCCCTCATCCATCTCCACCACCGCTTCCGTGAAAATTATACATAGGCCCCACGCAAGGTACCTTTTTTCTTAAATTTGCATAAACTGCTCTACAGTTTCCTCTGCTTCTCTCCTTCTTTGCATCATTATAATTACCTAACAAGACAACATAGGTATCGTCACTTAATTAACATAAGCAGTACCAGTTTATGAATATCGTTTACCTCGTTACTTCATCAAGACAAATTATCAAATCAAATTAAATATAATTTAAGGATTGATTGAGGAACAAAACTTATTCATTTAAATAATTATCGATTGGTGAATGGGTAGTCATTTATAGAGCTTGTATGGGTGGTCCCACCCATTGTTCACGACCCCGTGCTTGACAAAATGTAAATGTTTATTCCAAGCACGAAAAATAGAAAGCGCAATGTGGACAATTGATGCAATTGCCAAACCAAATGCACTTACCGCATATATTTTATGTTAAAATTGAAGCAGCCAATAATCACAAGTGGGAGATGGGTGAGTCCCATTTGTAGCATTGATATATAGTGGAATCAAACATTGTGTAAGTGAGAGTTTCCCTCTTTACCTGTTCATCTCTCAGTCTCACCCAAGAAAAATGGATGTTAATGCTTACCTTAGTAAACGCGTGACATGTTTAAAATAATTATATTTACCAATATTTGAACTTTATATATTAAATTCAAATATTTTTTACTAATTAATCCACGTAATCAGTTTTAAGAAAAATTGATTTAAATGAAAAAAATAAAAAAAAGCAACTAAGGTAACTTATAAATATTGAAAAAAAAAATTTATCTGATTTAATCTGAATCTGATTCGAGTTGCACAATTAGATGTGGTAGGTAAATTTATCGAATCATTTGTCACTCAAACCAAATTTTAGATATAATAATGAAAGCTATTATTTATTAGTATTTTAAAATTAAATATAGAATAAAATTTAGATATAATATTTTTCTGTTTTTAATATTATTTTTAATATTAAATTTTAATTTTAATTAAAAAATAACATGATTAAAAATTTTAAAAATATTATATTAAAAATTTATACTTAAATATATCTAAAGAGAGGCATATATATATATATATATATATATATATATATAAGGAGAGAGAGAGAGTATAGAAGTAGGGTAGTGGGAGAGGTAGGGTAACATAGAATAGGAGTGGCGGCGATTTGAAGCCGTCAGATACGGAGTATCTAACTTTGAAGGTGGGCCCTACAAAAAAAAAATAAAGGTATTCTCGTTTGAAGCTTTGAGGTACTTAGAAAAAAGATAATTAAGAAGGAATCAAACAAGAAAGAAAAATAAATAAATAAAAAGTGGTGAGATTCATAAAATAAAAATAATAAATTCATAACTAAATTATAATTTTTAAAAATAAAATTTATGGCAATTGATACTTAAAATTTTAGAAACCAATACAGGAGTTTACCAACTTAAACCAGCGTAGAATGAGTTACATTCCACAATCGTATACTTAAAATTGTGACTTCATTTTACTCCTAATTATACGTATAAGTTTCTATGACATGTACAACAATTCGGAACGAATAATCATTCATATAATTCATGTTATAGATCATTGTGTAAATTTAATTAATTTTTTAATAATTTAAACGCTTTATAAACATTTTTTTTTACTTTTATTTAATAACAACAGTAAAAGAGTCTATTATTCATCATTAGACAAAAATATCAGAAAATGTACAAAAAAAAAAATATGTAAATAAAATAACGTGTTACCATAGCATAATCAAATATCACAAGTAAAATTAAACATGATAATTAGGAATGGAAATATATTAAACTTTGCATAAATAGGTCTAGCCTGTCCACTAATTTTGAAGTCTAAGTTTAACCTATTATATATTATAGGCTTTTTATTAAACTTAATATGTCATTTTTAAAAGCTTGATATAGTCTATTAGTCTGTTTAATGGTCTATTTTGTATCAAGATATTAAATACGTTATTAAGCTTCTTTATAAGTAAACTATTAAACCATCTAAATAAGTATATTTTTTAAAAGTTATAAGGCTTACATATAAATAAACTATTAAAAAATATTCAACACTTTGAATATGTATAATAAAATTACATATTATTGTTTATCGCTTTCAAATGATATATATAATTTAATAAGTAAATCATTACACATACAAAAAATACAATAAAATGAATATTAATTTATAAATTATTAAGCAAATCTAGTAGCGTAAAGTCTTACACATTAAATCAACAAATACAATATAACTAAATAAGTTTTAGACCTAAAATTAACAAATGCAACAAATAAAAATTTAAAATGTACAACTAATAATATTTTTTCATACAAGATATGCAAAAAAAACTCCAACAAACAGAACTTTCTCTTTTAGAGGGTATA